ATATACATACATAGGCATTGAGTAGGGGTGAGGACTTGATCGACATTATATACACATAGGTATTGTATGAAGTTGAAGAACTAAATTAATGTTTTAAACTTAAACTACGCTTTAGTAATGTGATAATTTGTGATTGCTCCCTGATACTTGAGATATTTTTGTTTAAATAAAGGTTATTAAGATATTTTGATAGTTTGTTTTTAAGACACTTATTCACCAGACTATATAGCCCGGCATGGTCTGGTGGTTTAGGCGATCGACTTGCAATCTGCGAATTGCAGAATCGAATCCTATCGTCAAACATGCTTTCCCATTTCACCCGTGGGGCGTTATATTGTGACAGTCAATCCCACTATTCGTTGGTAAATTAGGGACGGCTAGCGCAGATAATCCATGAGTGGCTTTACGCGAAATTCTACAGACAGTTACTAGTCTGTGGTATATATATATATATATATATTAAATTTAAAACATTTAATCGACAAGGGATGACAAATAAAATACACCCAAGAAATTAGCCTGTTCGGTGCAAATTGAATCAAAGCAACAAGATTAAAACATTAATAGCAAATTTGAGTTAATGTAAACACGTTGTATAACGGAATAGTATATGTAAACTGAATTAATGTAAAATAAGGGAATAATATCTATACGCAGAGTTAATGTAAACTAAGAGAATAGTATCTGTACGCTGAATTAATGTAAAATAAGGGAATAGTATCTATACGCAGAGTTAATGTAAAGTAAGAGAATAGTATCTGTACGCTGAGTTAATGTAAACTAAGGGAATAGTACCTGTACATTGAGTTATTGTAAACTAAGGAAATAGTATATATACGCTGAGTTAATGTAAACTAAGAGAATAGTACTTGTACATTGAGTTATTGTAAACTAAAGGAATAGTATATGTACACTGAGTTAATGTAAACTAAGGGAACAGTATCTGTACGCTGAGTTAATGTAAACTAAGGGAATAGTACCTGTACATTGAGTTAATGCAAACTAAGGGAACAGTATCTGTACGCTGAGTTAATGTAAACTAAGGGAATAGTATCTGTACACTGAGTTAATGTAAACTAAGGGAACAGTATTTGTACGCTGAGTTAATGTAAACTAAGGGAACAGTATCTGTACGCTGAGTTAATGTAAACTAAGGGAACAGTATCTGTACGCTGAGTTAATGTAAACTAAGGGAACAGTATCTGTACGCTGAGTTAATGTAAACTAAGGGAACAGTACCTGTACGCTGAGTTAATGTAAACCAAGGGAATAGTACCTGTACATTGAGTTAATGCAAACTAAGGGAACAGTATCTGTACGCTGAGTTAATGTAAACTAAAGGAATAGTATCTGTACACTGAGTTAATGTAAACTAAGGGAATAGTATCTGTATAGTACCTGTACATTGAGTTAATGTAAACTAAGGGAACAGTATCTGTACACTGAGTTAATGTAAACTAAGGGAATAGTATCTGTACACTGAGTTAATGTAAACTAAAAGAATAGTACCTGTACACTGAGTTAATGTAAACTAAGGGAATAGTACATGTACATTGAGTTAATGTAAACTAAGGGAATAGTATTTGTACACCGTTTGTGATAGTAGTCTTAAATTTCCCAAAATGCATACTTCGGAAATAACGGTGCGTACTGTAAATGTTTATTAATCCTGAGAGTATAAGTTATCCAGAAGTAAATTATTGCTGTTGTATATATGTCATGATTGAAGTGCACGCCTATGCTAAGATCGAGAAGGGAGAAATAAAAATCCGTTTTTGATCCTCTTGGCACCCCTCCCCCCCCTTCTTTGGATTGCCTTACATCACTAGTTCAACTACAGTCACGTAGGGCATATTCCTTGAAATGTTACTCTTCGATTCAATCATTGTAAATCATGCCGCCAAAATGTTAACGATTTTCATTAAAAGTTCATCGTGGGCGTGGCCGGGAGCTGGCGAGCTGGGTTCGAATACGTGCGATAACACAGAATATTCCTTCTCCCTACTTTAAGTTGCGAGTACGTTATAAGAGTGACAGTCAATCTCTTAGCGTGGCTGGTGGGTAGTAGGATGCTGCTGATTGACTACATTCTCTCTAATTAGCAAAGTTCAGAATAGCTATATATCCATGCATAGAGATACTGTTCTTCGCAAAATTTCCTATACTGAGCTATCGGAAATTAATTGTAAACGGATGAATTAGCACGTTACTTACCACTAAGTATGAAAAGTCGGTTTCTGAATCCATATAGCCTAATCCAGTAATGGCTGGAGACGGTTTGAATGGGTAATGAAGAAAAACTTTATATAACTTTAACATAACAGCAAATGTACAGCGTTTCGACAAGGTTTTGTCATCATCAGGTTGTATATTTGCTGTTATGTTAAAGTTATATAAAGTTTTTCTTCATTACCCATTCAAGCCGTCTCCAGCCATTATTAGTCTTAAAGTGGGTTCCTCGTCATCGAATTTGAAGCCTAATCCAGTGTTTCTCGGCCGAATTTGGCAGACGACCCCCCGCCTCCGGGCTTTGGTCGTCGCGATCCTCCATTCTCTACAAGGATGAAAAAAATTCTTGATGTTTCTTGGCGCACTTTGTCATAGTTCATAACAATAATTGATGAGTAGGTTAATTCAAGTAAAACTACACAAATAATAATAAACAGTTTGGTGTTAAAATAAATAAGTAATATATAATGTTAAAACTCCTTACCCTAACTCTGATGTGTAGGTGAATAAAGTAAAATAGATAAAATTACTTTTCCAGTTTACACCGAAACAGTTGTTGTTCATGCAACTTGATAATATAAATGACATTTATACCACTAACATGTATGTCGTATCCCAGCCTTGTCGGTCATTCGATGTAGCAGACATGGTGTGATAAATATATTATTGTGCCATAAATTATCAGGAGTCTATCTTCCTTTGTGTGTTTGTGTTTGTATAAAGTTGAACATAGAACACTGCTGATTGTACTGCAGGCTTTTAGCTCAGCAGCCTACGTCAACAAACTAATCGAATCCAGCATGTTTAACATAACGTGATTGGCTAATTTCCGGCAGTTTGTCGTAAGAACCAATCAAATACTGGGCAAAGTTTCTTCAACCAAACCTAAACTTCCTGTTCACAATTACCGATGTGACACATGTAGCGCGCTATTAAAAAAATCATATCCATTGTCATATACAATTGTCTGATGCTTGACATACATTGGAGATATATGAATTTAAAAGTTATGTTGGTACATAATATATGGTTGCGTTCTAACATAAGATTAAATAGCGGTTGTCACCATAGTAACCGGCGATACGAATAATTACGACTTGTTTTGAAGGAACTGCAAAACATGATACACAAAAAAAGAAGGGAAAATGCAAGTTATACACACATTTATTATTTTATTCCACTATGCGTATAAACAAAAGGCAGAAGTTGGTTTGAATGTGATCATGTAATATTTACAATCACTTAAAAGACTACTGTGACAAGTTAATAATTGAGTTTTCGTTCTTACTTTTTTTTGTCTTGGTTTGTTTTTTTCCATAACTAACTCGTGTATTATGGATATTTATTAAAAGCTTCTATTAACAGTTTTATGTAAGTCACTGGGATTGACACAGGGTTGACGCCAACTGATGGGTCTCCTTTTTTTCTTTTGTATTTATGCCCATAATGAAAATATTTGTAAACGTAATGTTACTAAAATTAATTCACTTTTTATTAGTAGTAGTATTAGTTTAAGGCCCGGCATAGCCAGGTAGTTAGGGCGCTCGACTCGCAGTCTGCGGGTTCGAATCCCTGTCACACCGAACATGCTTGCTCTTTCAACCGTGTGGGCGTTATAATGTGACGGTCAATCCCACTATTCGTTGATAAAAGAGTAGCCCAAGAGTTGGCGGTTGGTGGTGATGACAAGCTGCCTTCCCTCTATTCTTACACTGCTAAATTAGGGACGTCTAGCGCAGATAGCCCTCGTGTAGCTTTGCGCGAAATTAAAAAAACAAACAAACAAACAAGTATTAGTTTAACGTTACAAATAACTTTATTAATAAAGTAACTGGGGAAAAAAAAGACGAACGTACGTTTGTAAGGAAAACAAAATAAGGAATTTATTATTCAATTCTAGTTATGATTCACGTTTATTATATATAAAATATACGACTCTTCCGAATAGTTAGAATGACGAAGCCTAGCATGATAGTGATTTGGGGCTTCATAGACTGTTGTAAAGGAAAAAATTCTTTATCTATTTATTTGAATTGAAACGATAGTCGCACAGAAAGTATTTTTAAAGATATGTGTTGAGCCCTTTCCTGAAGTTTGTTTAATAGAAGCACTCTGTAAGTTGACTGATATCGAGTTCTTTTGCTCTTTATTTACACGATTAAAGATAGAACGTGGATGCGTTTTTAAAGGCATAATTATGCAGGACATAACTGCGAAACTATGAAAAGATACATAGGGAATATAAAAAGAATGAATATACAATGACACACTGTTGGGCTATATAACCCAAAAAGAATGAATATACAATGACACACTGTTGGGCTATATAACCCAAAAAGAATGAATATACAATGACACACTTTTGTGTTATATATCCCCAAAAGAATGAATATACAATGACACACTGTTATGCTATATATCCCCAAAAGAATGAATATACAATGGCACACTGTTGTGCTATATATCCCAAAAAGAATGAATATACAATGACACACAGTTGTGCTATATATCCCCAAAAAGAATGTATATACAATGACACACTGTTGTGCTATATATCCCAAAAAGAATGAATATACAATGACACACTGTTGTGCTATATATCCCCAAAAGAATGAATATACAATGACACACTGTTGTGCTATATATCCCCAAAAGAATGAATATACAATGACACACTGTTGTGCTATATATCCCAAAAAGAATGAATATACAATGACACACTGTTCTGCTATAAATCCCATCCAAACGACTGATTTCCTTACATCTTCCAGCAGTGTGCAGCCAGACTTTTACAGAGGCGCCGGGTCACATCGAAGCCATCTCCAGACGCTATAAACGCCTTGGTCACACTCGTTGTCAGTACCTGATCCGAGCGCCAGCCCACACCACCATCATGCTCAACTTCACGCACCTGTACGATGAAGGAGCGCGTGTCCTGTGTCTGCCAGAGGTGCGAATCATCGAAGTTTGGTCCCACCATAAAGAGAGTCAGATGGGTGTGTTGTGCCCTGCCCATCACAATTTCCAAGGTCCACAAGTCTTTCAATCGAGGGCGTCCCTTCTGAGGGTGACGTACGAATGGCCACCTAACATGGAGAGTGGGTTTAGTTTATATTTCAAATTCCAGAAGATTTCAAAAGGAAAATCAGGTAGGCATATATCGATTGTTTTATCATTTAGGTTGAAAAACGTATTGCTATTCTCCAGTCTTGTCGCCTTCACTGTATGATGACGTGACAATGACGTACATCCATGTTCTTTCTGTGGCGTACCCAGCATTTTTTTGACGTAATAGCAGAATTTCCGTGCCTCATGTAACCTATAGTTGTTTAAATGATCAGTACATTTATGAAACGATAAATTGCTGTAAATGCCTAATTCAGTAATGACGCTAATATTCCATTTTCTGCTCCTCATGTTTTTCTGTGTATATTAGGGGTTGTTTTTTCTCTGCGTTCAAAACAAGATTACACACAACAAGTTACACGTTACTTATTTTACAGAATTCGTTTAGTTCATTAATGAACACGAAGTTTTAAAGAAAGTATTACCATTAATTTTACTAGAAACATTTGGTTCTTCGTATATACAGTGAGTCATACTGAAATGTGAAAGGGCCCGAACTGTTCTGGATTATTTTAGTTGAAGCAACTCTAATTTTTGTGGTAGCATGTGGTGCGTACTGTATATTCAACTTCAGCATGGGACTGTATGAATGGAAATAATTTATATTGAAAACTTCAGCTAATCATGCATGAAACAGTTTAGGAGACCACTTACTATCGCCATAGCTGCTAGTATTAAATTAGTTATGTGTACGTATATATATATATATGGAAGTTATTCAAGAAATATCTTGACTTGTACAAAATGTTAATTCTTATTTTTGAAGTTTACGTTGCCTAAAGCCCTGCAGTTTTCCAGTTTTCACTGCATATATTAGGTTACAATTATTTTGATATATTGATTTAGGGAAATTTTTTAAATATTATCTCGAGCCAAGCACGACTTTTAAAAACTTTGATTATAATATATATGGAGTTCACTAGTTCCTGATGAGAAACACTTCACAAATTTTTACGTCATTTTTCACAACTTCACGTGTTTTCGATAACTTGTAGCTGCATGAACGGTATTATTCAGAAACAAAAGAAGGAATTGGAATTCTCAGTGATAACGAGGAATTATTATATGCTGTGAATACCGCTAAACACTCGAATCAGAGATCGATAGGATTCAGCTATAGTTGTATGTAGTTTCGAACTACTGATCAAAAGGAAGGCGCCTCCCGATGGCTCAGCAGTAAGCTTGCTTTATAACGCTAAAAATCGTGGTTCGATACCCGCAGCGAGCACAACACAGACAGCCCATTGTGTTTTGCTTTTGAAAACAAACAAAGGAAAGACATCTTATTAGCAGTACCTGCCACCACTAGGGCTTTGTCCGTCTTTTTGAACTGAATAATGCGATTGGCTGTCACTTTTATAACGCGTCTATAGCTGAAAATTCGCGAGGAGCGTATTCAGTGACTTTTCTTGAATGCAGCCCGACACACGAACCACGCCCAGCCCAGTGTAATGATTGTCTTTCATCAATTTGGTAAAGTTCATTTACACATACGTTTATATTCCATTTGTAATCGTATATAAAACGATGGTATAACCTGGTACCATACTGTTGCATGTTGGTATTAACACTTTCATTACTTAACAAAGAAAATAAAACTCCTTTAGAGCCAATTCATGTAAAACTCTTATGAACGTAATACGTGGTTCTGACTGGTTTTGTAACCACAGTAACTCCACGGAAGCACTTATTCGATGACCAAATTGTCAGTGATATATTAATTCGTTTCCGCCCATATGATTGCTTTTCTCAGTTGTGACGTTTAATATATATATATACCGTACGATTATTATAATATATGCAGTTTTTTGGTTTTTTTAACGAAAATCATAAACTACATAGTTTATTTTGTATAGGTATCGAAATCAGTCAATAGGAATATTGCGAATACAAACTGTGGAGAATAAATTTGGTATTTTATCATAACGTTAACTCGAAGCTTTATATGTAGTAATTTTTGAACGATTGTGAATTTTACTTACCTAACTTTACATTATTATATATTTTTTTTATTTATAACAGAGTTTTGTTCTACGATCTGGCATAAAAAAAGTAGAACCGAATTAAAGTGTTAATGCATGGATTTGTTGCTAAAATTCCTTTGCAGCCTTGTGCATCCGTGGCCTGTTTCTTAGTTATAAAATGGGGTTTTGCGTAAGCACGCGAATTATACAGCTCTGTTTAAGCACATTTTAAAAGTAATATATGGAAAAGTTATTTCTTCTTTCTTTTTTTTCTTTTTCTTTTTTCTTTTTTTTTTTTTGTGAAATGCGAGTTCCAATTCTTCCAGTTGTTGTTGTTGAACCTCTCATGCTCACGTGCACGTGAGCGTATCGGAATTGCTTCAAGATGTGTGTGTATATTAGAGTAATTTTTTTTTTCTGGTTCATTGTCGATGAATAAACGCATAGTAGTCCTTGAGAAAACTCTAAACGAAGCATTGGTCATTTAACAGATTAAGTGGTTTGTTTTGAATTTCACGCAAAGCTAGTCGTGAAAGACTAGAGGGAAGGCAGCTAGTCATCACCACCCACTGCCAACTCTTGGGCTATTCTTTTACCAACGAATAGTGGGATTGACCGTAACATTATAACGCCCCCACGTCTGAAAGGGTATTCGAACCCGCGAGTTCGAATAGGGCGCTCGACTCGCGCCTTAACCACGTGGCCATGCCGGGCCAACAAGATTAACTGAAATTTGGAATTTTATCGCGTCGCCTAACCTTTTAGAATTTACGGAATTGGAATTATTTTGGGTATTATGTATGTGATATTTTCGGGTAAATAGGTTTCCCGAAATATTAAGTTAGGTCGGTCTGCTTTATAAAGGAAGGTTCGGCAAGATAAGAAATTCTGAATTCCGCTAAAACTGAGTCTGTGTTAAAAATAAATGGACTGGATACAAGCTGTGATGCACATTGAAAATACCTTTATCAACATGACGAAGGCATTATGTATGTGTGCGCACGTACGCTTGCGTTGGATGTTGGATTGTCTACTTTACTGGAGCTGTGAATTTTTGAGGCTGGTTCTACTCCCTAACTGACGGATTAACTCAAAACGATATTCCAGACAGTTTAAACCTTAGAGTATTTAGTCGAATCAGTAATGTAAGACTTGCCCAGAGAAACTAGCAATGCCCACGTGACTGTTCATTTTCATTCATACATAGGTGTGGCCATAATCTCGTGATACCACCTGACGTATATAGTAAGACACTGCTATGAACCATTATGCACAAGGTGCAGCTTTACAGCTACACCACCATTGGGAGACCAGGTATTATCTCCCAGGAAATAGCAAAGAACAAAATGAACTTTTCTTCAGCATGTATTATGTGAAAACTGCACACACCTTTAGAATAAAAGTTGAATATTATACATTAAAATAAGGTGGTAGAAAATGCATGGTAACCTGCATACTACATTTTTCCTTCTCCTTCTGTTTCCGGCGTGTCCTAAACCAACATATAAAACCTTATATAAATAAAATACACAGTGTCACTAAAAGCACAGTACCGAATCAATACAAAATATAATAAGAATAATGATAAGCAACACCTTTTAACTTGAACAATATTTCTGAGTATATAATATCTAACGATACCTTTCAAGTCAATAAAAAATGCTGAAAACAAAGTGAATCCTTTAACGCAGATAATAATTATAACTACAATTCAACATAAAAGAAAAGCAAAAATTATCAACTGAATCAACATACTTTATGCCAAAATACAAAATATATCCCTTTAGAAAAAAAAATCAGATCACAATAAAATTTTACATCAATGGACTCATCTACTGGAATACAAAGTATGTTCTTATCTAGTCAAATCCAAGCTGATTTTGCACAACTGGCATTTACCAAAGCCAGAACCAGTCTCTGTTACTTTACCATCTTGTCATAGCATTTCTTCTGACGTTTGGCAGCCTTTCCTAACCGTTGGAGTTCAAATTCGTGCGCATCAATTAATTCAGACCTTAACCACTCCACATATTCTTGTGGACATTATGGGACGTATGCTCAAGTGGGAAGGAACATACAACACATTGACAGGGAATATGAGTATGTTTGGCAAACAACCTATAAACCTTCATTCAGTTGCCCCGTAAGCCACCATAACGTAGAGTATGTGTTTGTTCATCCCAGTAAGTCCAGCACAACCTAGATTAACAGGATTGGTAATCTGTATTACCCATTCTACAAAACCATCATATTGGGATTGATAAGGCAAAATGCACATCTTTCCCCACACCTAACATTTTTCACAACTTGGAGAGGAATTCGCTGCTGAAATTAATTCCGTGATTCATATAGAGTCATGTTATCCATTGCTTTGTCAATACATCAGCAATGGACTGTACGGAAGTATGATCCAATGGATAAGCCTCAGCCCACTTTGTGAAGTAGTCAGTGGTGATGTGAATGTACAGATGACCTCATTCAGTCCTTGGGATTAGACCAACTATATCCAGGACTATCATTTATAGAACATTTATAGCTGAAAGTTTATTTTTAATCCAAGAAACCCATTCATCATAATTAACAGACATAAAAACACAATTACGTTTTATATTTCCAAATTGAGATCCAACAGTTCTTTGTTGGAGTTTACCCTATTTTGACCAGTTCTTTTTCAAGCCAGGACATAAATACAGTGTTCACACCAGTGCCAAACTTCTTCACTCAAATTCAGACAGTATAATCAACATGGAATGTTAGCACAAGTGTGTGTATAACCTTGCTGTCCTCTAGTCTTTGTGGTACTCAAACACTTGAGAATCTCTTACTTTAGATCTCTGAGTACCACTAGCTACAGCACAGTCTACAAAGCACACCGTGGTGGTTGATAGCGGCAGTACAGCACATCTTTTTGCTCTCGTAACTAACTGTCCAAGTGCGCTCCTCTATTTTTGCTGGCCAAGCTTTACCTTTCTGCACGTCCTTCTGGGTCCTTTAGTTGACAATCTGTCCACATTTCCATGTTGTGGGCCCGGGGGGGGGGTGCAATGTGACGGGTTCGT